CGCTACCTTTTAAACAATTACTTTAATCGTGGCAGCGCAGCAAATGTCATAAGAACTAAAACATTAAATGGACTCTTAGCTAAATTAACATGCGGCAATACAGAGGGAAACCAAAAGAGAGTAAGAGAGAGAGAGAGAGAGAGAGGCGAAGAACGGGACATAGAGATAGACACTGTGCGATAAGCGCGCAAACTTAGGCGCTGCCAGACGCGCCCCTTTCGTATTGTATAACATGTATCTGTGAGTACTTGTAAATGTGTATATCTGTGTGTGTGTGTATCTCTATACGAGTGTGTGCCATTCGCCAGTCTAATGACACAACATTTCATTAAAAATAATTTCACTAAACATTTGACGTATTACGTCCAATTGGCATTTCTAATGACAAACATACACATTCACATACACACACATGCACATACGCACACTTGCAGCTTATAGAGATAGAAATAAATGAACATAATGGTACTAATCGTCAAACATGTATTTAGGTTTGTTGTCGGGTCTGTTAAATAGTTGTTGTTGTTGTTGTTGTTGTTGCTTTTGTGTTGTATTTGGATTTTGCTTTTGGCGCTTTGTGTTTGATTTGTTCAGCCTTATCAGCGTGTATCGGAGTGCTTTATTTTTTTTTTTTTCAATTTCCTATTGCTGATCAGCAGTCATATAATTATAGCGCTTCAGAACGACTACACAGGGGCGTAGCAGGTAACAAGAAGAGCATCCAGCCCGGTGCAGGTGACTGAACAGGAAACGTGACTCACGCACTAGGCGAGTTGTGAACAATTTTTTTTATATATTTATTTTATGAGACTCTAAGCCCCCTCTTGGTCCCCTTTACAGACATAGTTGCTGTGCAGACAGTCCATTAAATGTAAAAACAAATAAAATAAAATAACAAAATTAAAAAGCGCTGACAGAGCTTAGACCAATGTGTGATTCAAAAGTGATTTTATTGTAGATCGCTATCTGGTTGTTAGCTCATGTTTTCCCACTGAGCAAATAGGTCACTCACACACACACAAACCTGTTGAAAATTGGTGCTTGCTGCAGCTGCGACAAAACTCGTGTAGCTTAAACAAATATTTGAGCGCGATTAGACTGGACAATCACTCAGCTGGCTGCATTAAAGGCCATCAGATAGAACGCCAAACTTGACTGAAATTAAACTATTTGCTGTCAATCAACGTCAGTGCCAGAGCCGAGCCATAAACAATATCCAATTTCTGGCCACAGAATACTAATTAAATTACGCAAAAAAGGCAACAACAGCAACAGCAGCAGCAGCCTGTTAAAAGTGAAGTGCAAAGCAAATGCCAGATTTTGAATGTTCAGATAAGCACAACAGCAACAGCAACAACAACAGCAACACAAAATACACGCACTTGCAGCAGCAATTGTTGTTGCAGCAGTTGTGATGTTGCTAATAATAATTATGTTGCTGCTGCTGCCGATGCTGCAGTTGCTAATTTTAAATGGCAACAGCAACTTTTGTACTGCTCCATTCTGCATGTTGTTGTTGCTTGTAATATATTTTAATTTATGCTTGGTTGCCAATACTTTTGGCCAGAGCAGCAGCTAACGCCACATTTCAGGCGCGCTGTAAAATTGCGCGTAAAGAAATATTAATTTTAATTTAATGAATTAAACACATACATACGCTGCACTTGTAAATATATGTATTTATTTATACTTGTATATATTTGTATATGTATGAAGACATCAGCAGTGGAATTTTTTGAAACCGATTCCCTCTTTCGTACCAGCAATTGTTGCTGAGTCACATCGTTCGTCGCCTTGGCACAATACATAGATATATATTTATATATAGATATGTATAATATACAAACTTACACATGTACAAGCATTTATACATATATGAAACATGAGTTTTAGCTTTGACTTTTCGTCTTCCTCTTCTTCTGTTCTCTGCCATGCCTAGGCCTAAATGTGTTTATCTATTCGTGTATTTGTTTTGTGTGGGATTTGTCATTCATAAAAAATGCGCTTGAAACGTGTGATGCAGTGCTAAAACTCAATGAAATGAATTTTATTTTGAAAAAAATAAATAAACATACATCTTACATATTGAGAGTGCAGAAAAAAGGCAGAGAACCTATGTAGAGAAATAGGGAGAGTTTGCTGCTTTAAATTGTCCAAGCAGAATTTTTGAAAATGCGAAATGAACTCCTAATAGGCTTTATACAATAGATCCTTGGCAAACCATAGTAAAAAAGTTAGACATAAAGATAAAATATGTTTATTTGAAAAATTGCATAAATGTGATAAAAGAATTGATATAAATTTTAACCGAAAATTAACTAATTTACAGATGGTAAAAGTCGGAAATTCTATCTTTTCTATTGAATTTCTGAATATTTGCTTAAATATTGACTTTATTGTTTATAAGCTCATACGAGCGTTCAAAATCTATTGCAGAAGTTTTTGTTATATAAAATATTTATTTTATTTAATGCAAATAAAAATTGAATTTTTTAATTTTCGTAGTTTTTAAGGTATTTCTCATTTTTCATTGTTATTAACTCTATTTTGAAATTATATTGATTTATCATTGCTTTAATCTGAATATGAGAATTTTATAATTCTGAAAATTCGTTTCCCAGTTTGTAGCTATTTTTCAGCAGGAATATTCGTATTTAAAATATATGCGCAACAAAAACGAAATGCCAAACATGTTTGGACAACCGATTTTGGGTTGGGGAGGCGGAAAACTCTCTTAAAAGTAGTAAATAAAAGAGTTATAATACATATTTGCATTGGTTGCTGCTACCGTAAATAGTGTTAAGCTGAGTGCGCTTAGCTACTAACTAAATATAGAGACTGATTAAGCTGTGCTGAGGCCACTGAGCGCGCCTTAATTATAGTCAAGCAAACAACAACAATTGACTAGTTGCTGGCAGCATAATTAAAAATGCAGGCAACGGCAATGTGTTGTACAAATGAATTAGCCAAAGTGGGATTTTGGTTAGCAAGTGGAGAGCGAGCGCGCTTTGTTGGTTACTTTTGCGGCTTTATCTTTATCAGCCATGCATCGCCAGTTGGCAGTTGCCACATTGCCACATGGCTGTGTTGCCATGTTGCCACGTTGGCTGCCTGTCGGTTGCTTGCAGCTATTTCCTGTCAGATTTTGCATAAATAATTTTTGATAATCAGAGCTGTGCTGTGACGGGCACATAAATTTAATTAGCAGCATATGCTGCATTTAATTAGCAGTAAGCTCATGACTGCCATCTAACTGTTGCAGCAGCAGTAACAGCAGCACCAGCAACGGCAGCAACAGTTGCACGTTGCACGTTGCAATCGGCGCGTAGTTAATTGAAATTCACACGATGCGAATGCTCAGTGGCTCATTTGGTAGGCCGACTGCGTTGCTGTAGCTGTTGTTATTTCTATTTTTCATTATTTAGCTGATGCATTATTATTATTATTATAATTCCTTTCTATTTTGTATGCTAGTTTTCATTGCATTGCATAAGCCAATTGGCAGCCTGTTGCTGCTGTTGCTGCTGTTGCTGCTGTGCGAAGGGGCTAGAGATACCTCGCTGCCGCTGCATATGTGGCATGCATAATTAGCAGCCTCGAGCTGCGTCTCACTCGACTGCCGCGATATAAAGAATTTTCATTTTCATTTTCATACACATATTACCAACAACTACAGCAGCAACAACAATAAATATGTAATCCAAAACACAGAGAGTGATTCCGTGTGCGTGAGTGTCCCATTTGCTATCTGATTTTCTTTGCCTCTCTTCCCTCTCTCTTTGCTTATTTCTCTTTCATTTTTTAATGAGCCATTAAGCTTTAGATTTTTGTGTTTAGATACGCCCAAAGTTTGTCTATCTCGAAGAAAACGCTTGTATGATATCAAACGCGTTTCCACGAAACGAATTAAGTTATTAGACACGCTCGAGCTGGAAAACTGTGTGCCGGCCCATAGAATCAATTTGTAAGATTATGTTCTCTGAAACTTGTTGAAATGTGTTGGACTCACACAAGATTCACAAGAAAGCCAACAACATGTTGCATTCATATTCATTCAGGTGCGGCCAAACGCTGACTCCTCCATCTCCCTCAAGTTCAGCCCCCACCCTCGCCCGTCTCACTCACAGTTAACTTTTCCAGCCAGACTGCTTTTCCTTCTGCCTGTCTGTCTGCCTGTCTGTCTGTCACTCAAACTGTGTATGTCAACTGCAAATGACTGTCATTTCGCCACAGCTCACAGAAAGTTGAGAACTTTATTAAAATTGTGCACACAATTTAACAACAACAACAACAACAACGGCAACAGCAACAGCACCAAAACTGTAGCGGTTTTTATGTGTTGATTTCCAACTGTCAAAAGTTTGTTTATTTGTATTTACTATCTCTTTTATTTTTAATATTATGTTACGGCTTGCTCGAATGTTGTTGATATACGCTAATTTTAGATATTGAAATGTGCAAGTCTCACCTAGCAGCCGCAGTGAGAGAGAGAGAGAGAGGTAGAGAGAGTGTGTGGGTTTATTGCATGTGAAAATTTGTTCAAACAATAATACAAATAATAATAACACAAAATAATCAACAGTACAAATATAACAACGAATCGTATTACAAAAGCAGTTAGACAAATAAGCAAACAAACCCAGATAGAAGAGTTAACAGCAAAGCGAGAGAGAAAGAGAGAGAGAGAGAGAGAGAGAGAGAGGGAGATCATATGAGACAGACAGACAGCCTGACGACAACTGACGCTGAAAGAAAGTCATGCCAACTGTCAGGCAGACGGCTAGCTGGGCTAGATAGTACTGAGAGCCTAGGGCGTTTGGCTAGGGGCTCGCGGAGGGGGCCCAGGGGCAGGGCGCAGACAGACAAACAAATAATAATAAAATAATAATTGTTTGTCAACATTCGTTTAGCATGTGCGCTGTGCACATGTAGAGCGCAACACACACATGCACACATGCACACATGTATGTATGCATGCATGCGCACATGTATCTATCTACATACATACATACATATATCTATATCTGTATAGAGAAGCGTACGCAAGTACTGCTAGTTGGCATTGCCCTAGCTGCAAAAGGGGTGTTTGATGTGCGTTTTTCCTTCTATTTATGCAGTCTTTTTACTTCTTATTTTACAATTGACAATTTTTGTTCATTTTGGCATGAAATGTCATGAACAATTGTATACATACATATATACAAAGAGAGAGTCAGAGAGTTCGTGCGATTCTCATTTAAACTGCGTTCTGCGGTTTCCCGGTTGAGGTGAATGCCACACGTTGGAAAAACGAGCGTTTATAAAAGTTGAGAACTGTTTCAACTGGCATTCAGCACGTCATTTGCTTATTCAATTTCATGACACGATGTCGCCACACACACACACACACACACACTCTAATCCACACGCACACTCATACTCACACACGGTCTAGTCTCGCGTGCGTCACATAGCTCATAGTAGAAAACATTTCTGTGCAACAACAACGCTTCGATAATTGATGATAAATGTTGTATAATTTGACAAAAACACCAGCTGAAGAACAAACGAACCTGAAAACTAAAAACGACGAAAAAATATGGAACTCGACAAAAAAAGTAAGGTAGAAAACGCAGAAGTAGAACAAGAGGATGAGGAGGAGGCGGAATAAATATGCATACTCGTCGTATGTGTGGCACCCGCAATTATCGCTAGAAAGCATTTCCAAATAATTACAACACATTTCCCACAATGCACGTCGCATGATCATAGAGTGTGCAGTTTATGGCATATTATTCCTTCAGATATTTAGTGGGGCGTGTCTGCGTAATTATGTAGTCAGTAATGGGCATATGAATGCCCCCTGAATACAGCTGAAACAGAAACAGAAAAGGAAACTGAAAATGAAATTGAAACAGTTGTTCGTTCGCCACTCTTATGAGGGGTATTACGTGTCCATGGAAGTTGGCGCCAATGTAATCTAATTAGTTAGCTGTCTACAAAATTAATGCCAATCATCCTTTAAGGTGGACAAAAATAATGCAAGCATAATCAGTAAATATATAAATATATTGACAATCTAATAAAAGTGTAATATTTCATTAATTCGCAAGTTTTTACTATGATGTCAGATGAAATGTAAACACAAGTTTACTAAAAGTTTTTTGCAAGAGGACAAGAAAAAGATATACATATCTCAAAGACTTTCCTAATTGGGACTTTACTAACATATTGGTTTACTTCTTTTATATATTTATATTACTTCTAATTCGTATTCATTCATACTTTTATTCACAAGCTTTTACTATAAACTGAGATTTTAACAAATTCAAGCACAATTTTTAGAAAAGATTTTATCAATAGATAAGAAAAAGCTTTTTATCCAAGGCCTTTTCCAATTGATGTTCTCCTGAAATCTTATCTGTTCGCAATAAGAAACTATTTGAATTAAATTTTGCACTGTTATATCGTATTTTTTTTTTTTAAATAACTTTTGTTGAAATAAAAATTTTATTTGCGGTACGAGAAGTATAAGTTGAAGGTACGAAAGTAAGACTACGGGGCAGAGCCAAAGTTGTATGAACTAATCTGCTAAAAACAAATACATAGTTTCAAAACAAAGTTCATATCTGCAGTAGACAGATCGAAGTTGACTCTGAGCAGTCATTGCTAAGATCTTCAACAAATTATACACTCTGTTTCATATGAGTAAAAATCTGCATAGAAAGTGTCTAACTAAAGGCGAAAGGATATTCCGTGTGGCTAATATTATCATAGCCGCAGCTCTGGGTTATACACTTTGAAGAGTGTCGATGAGTAATTGCCTCATAAAAATTATGTGGAAATTAATTTTCAGCGCGTTTTCTGTGCATGCTCTGCCCATTTTCACCGTCAGCGCGTAGCGCGCTTCTATTAATAAATAAAAAAAAATTAAAGAGGAAAAAAAAAATAAAAAAAAAAAAAACAAATAAACGAAACGAGCGAGAAAATATTGAAATATGAAATGCAGTTGGGGCCGCTGCCGACTTGGGGCACTTGTCGTGTCGTGGTTCCACCTGCCAAAATTTCAAAAATACTCTCGCTATATCGTCGCTTGACACTTTTACCCCGTTCCGTAGCTCCCATGCCCCGCTCCCCCATTTCCCCCGTTCCCTTGACACTTCGCACAATCGTTGCAGTCGTGTGTTTTGCTTTCTTCTCTCTCTCTATCTCTCTCTCTCTCTCTCTCTCTCGCTGTCTCTTCGGCTATTTTGGGACTGATGCGCGTTCAAAGCCCGCGTGTTTTGTATTAAAATAAGTGTGCAATATTTATGTAAAAAAAAAAAAACAACTTAAAAATAAAAAGGAATTCATGTTCCGCGTGAGTGTGTGTGTGTTTTTTTAACTCGCATATTTATTTCGGATGCGTTGAAAATAAACCGTAAATAATCGCGTCGCTCGTTTGGTCGAGCGGGTGGGCTTACAATCAATTCACTTGCTCACTCAGCGATCGCGCGAGCATACCCTATAAATACAACAAAATCCATATATATGCACACACATGCATACATACATATACATATATGTATATTGTTTATAGGTATTTCGATCTGTGGTTATATTTATCACGAGTGTTGCCTGCCTGCACTCGTCGCAACAAATTTTAAAATTATTGGTAATAAAAATCCACCTTCACTGCGCCACCACCGCCCACACCACCATGCCCCTGTCCATGCGCACCGCTCGCATTGTGCATCGTAAAATCTTGACATTTAATATACATATATAGTATGTTTTGCTGCTGTTTAGCTGGCTTTCCGTCCCATCGTCCGCTCGTCCGCTGTTTGTGTGAATTTAAATATGTATTTAAAAATGAATTATATTAATATGCATAAGTTTAAGTTTAAGTGGGCCTCGCTGACATTTAGCTGATTCTTGGCGCTGTTATTGTCTTTAATTTGTTTATATGGTTTGGTAATACTCTTACTGAGAGCATACTATAATTGTGAGCATTTGTGTGGTGGATACAGTATATAAGAGCAATATGCTAAACTCATCCAGAGATCTCGGAAGACTTGAGTCTGTCTTGGACTATATGATATATTAGACTATATCTCATACAAAGTTTCTCTAAATTATCTAGCCAAAATTACTTTATCAAGTTCACCTGGAAAGAGTACAAAATATTCTACTAATACTTAGTGAAGTCTAATTTCTCTACGCATCGAAAGCTCGCAGCGAGGGGTCGTCTCTGTCGGGAATGACCGCACACAGTTGGCCGGCTAATGCCAAAGATGGGTTTTATATTCATGCAATTTTGCTTTCATTAGGCTACTCAATGGCTGCAGAAGGCCATAAAAAGCTAATGGCTTAAAGCTTATATTTGGGCCAAAGACATTGTACCCTGCTGCTGCTGCGAAATTAATATGGAAATCGCTTCTAGAGCTCGTCTCTCTCTCTCTCTCTCTCTCTTTCTGCCTCTGTCTGGACTGCTCTTTGCCTTTGTTTGATAGTTGGTTAGTTAACTGAACATAATGTGTGGCTGCAGTCACATCATTTGCTTTCTGATTCGGGCTGCCCACACACTGTTTGACGTCTTTTATTAATTCAACAAATGTATGTTGTTTCGTGGGGTCCACATATTGCATTTCTTCTCTCTGGTTGTTCTCTTTTTTGATGACAAATTGTCACGAGTGCATTGATGCAAAAAACTTAAATGAAGCGACATGCTGTTGAAATGTCTACAACGCCCTAATTCAGACCGCCCTCAACAGCCACGCCCCTGCTGCTGCCCTTGGCACTCGGTTAGCCCTTGCCCAGCACTGCTGCTGCTGGTCCTGCCGCTGTTGTTGCTGTATTACGACTACTGTCCACATTGCCCGTTGCATGCTTATAGAAGATACAAAACAAAGTACATTGCGTGCACTTGCAGATACTTGAGCGTCGACGTCCATTGTCAATTTTTGGGCTTGTCTTTTGCAGCCGTTTCAGCTTGTTGTTGTGGTTGTTGCTGTTGCTGTTGTTGTTGCTTTCGTGTTCGGTGGCTCATCATAATGAACAATGTGAATGTACAACTTGAAAACTAATATGCTGGGCCATGAAGGGAGCAAGCAGCAGGCCAAGTAACGAAGTAACGAGCAAAGAGTACCAAGTGACTAAGCCCGCAGTTCCAAAAACCCAGACCCAGGCCCAGACTGAGAACCCAAACTCAGCCCCAAAAAATACAAAAATAAAAACGACAATGGCTGGGTTATCTGGCTACCTCTTTAAATTGTTGTTGTTGCTATTGCTGTTGCTGTTGCGGCTGCTCTCGGATTACAGCCCAAAACAAAAAACAACAAGAACATACGAGCGACGCTGTTGCAATTGAAAACCGAGCTTGACATTTCTTGCTGTTGTTGTTGCTATTGTTTTTGTGCGTTTTGCTGGTTTATGGATTGCCAAAAAAGCAAAAACAAAACAGCTACAACAACAAATTGAACTTGGACTGGGGGTCTGGTCTGGTTTGAGCAGGCCTTAGCCGGTTACCGTTAGAAGGCGGCATATATCCTAAGTTCTGTCTCACTTTCACAGTTTCCTTTGGAGTCTCTGGCATTTTTATGTTTTCCTGGAAGCGTAAGCAATATGTCGCTGCGGGTGCGGAATTCCCATTTGGGATCGAAGGGACAGACTGAGCGAGAGAGAGAAAGAGAGAGAGAGAGAGCGTGAGAGAGCGAGAGAGTGTGTGTGTCGAAAAGAGTTGGCAATTAAATAAGCTGTTGTCTGTAACACAAGTAAACAAAATGAAAACGAAACGAAACGAAATGAAAGCGAGCGAACCGAGTGCTTGGCAGCAATAATTCAATTAGCACTGTTTCGTTTCATAAAAGTATAAGTTGATTTTTTTTAATTAATGTGCAGTTATCATGCAATCCGATTAAGAGGCGACTCCACTCGCCTTGCCTTGCCTCGACTCAACTCGACTCGTTTCGACTTCAGCCACTCGCAATTGCAAACTGTTTGTTATTTGTAGTGCAAGCGGGCAGAGTGTCGTTGTTGTTGTTGCAGTTGCATTTCTTGT